TTCTTTTCTTTTGGCTTCTTTTCTTTTGGCTTCTTTTCTTTTGGCTTCTTTTCTTTTCCTTTCTTTTCTTTTACCTTCTTTTCTTTTGTCTGCTTTTCTTTTCCCTTCTTATCTTTTGCATTCTTTTCTTTTCCCTTCTTATCTTTTCCCTTTGGTGAACTTGTTTTCTTTCCTGATGAGCTTGAACTTGTACTGCATGTTCCACTTCTACAGCATCCACCTCCTGGTTTTGTTGTAGTTTGTTGACTAGCTACATTCACTTCAGTACCTGGTGACGATCGCGACTTGTTGCAACAGATTGTCGATGTTAATTGTGATGATGATTGAGCTAACAATACTGTGTGGAATTTACATTGTGGTCCATCAATGTCACTTTTTTCTTCATCTTCATCCTCTTCTTCTGTATCTTCGTCCACTTGTTCTTCATATTCGTCCTCCTCTTCTACATTTTTATCATCGTATTGTTTCGTTTCGTTTCTTATAAAGTATTCGTAACTGGTCCCTTCGGTTATTCCATATGGTAAAGGTTTAGAAGTTTGATTGAACGCATCAAGATTACACAATGCTTTTGAGGAAACTTTTTGTTGTGGAATTCCTGGACAAAATGTTGTATCACAATCATTGTATCTGGAACGGAACTCCCTGTTCTTACCGTGCTGGGACTGGTTTACCTTGCTGTCATTTTCACAATCTGGACAAGGACAGCTTATTTTTAGTAAACCGCTTTGAATGTCGTCAACTTGCTTAGCAGAAAATTTTAAACAATCAAAATGTGCCCATTTCTTACATGCACCTTTACATTGCAGCCCAGTCTTAATATTAACAGTTTCACTGCAGATTTTACAGGGGTTTTTTACTCTAGCACTTGGTTTTCTAGCTTTTTCGTTACTGAGATTCTTTCCTTTTCTCTTTTCGAAATAATTCATTATTATGGTCGCATGGTGAACATATCTTGGATGTCTTCTTCGTGGTCTGCAATAAATTCTAAATTATGTTCATATTTAAAGTTAAAGTTTGTGATGTGGAAATTGTGTACAAAATTTATCTAAAATTTTGACCATATCAACGATATCAACATCGTCCCCGTCATCAACAAAGAGAATTTAAGCACTACGTTTAGTCATCAACAAATATCTAGTGTTTATTTTTTTTATTCTTTAGTTTTATTATGCCTTTGTTGTTCTTTATTCTTTCCTTTAAGGAAATTGCAAAGGTCCAAACCCGTACAGCCAAGTCTTGGGGAATTTTTCTTTTATTATTAACGTCACTTGCATAGAGAAAAGAAATATTTAGATTATTATATACTCGATGAGAGTCTTATTACCTCAAATATTTTTAGTAGCAGTAGAACTCCTTGTGAAAGAATTCGTCCAGGATGGTACTGCCATCAGACCTATTTCTGCCGCCACGCAGTAATGTCAGCATTACTGTGTTCCGGTTTTGAAGGGCAAAGGTGCTGGTGAAACTGGAGGTACATGGGATTTGTCAACTATGTCTCAGGGTGACGGGCGCAGTGGTAGTGCCACTCAGATTTTTGTAATTCAAATCTGTGAGTGGCACTCCTTGGCAAAGAGGTACTCCTTGAAGGTTGTACAAGTATATGCTCCGTTGTCCGCGCGTGACGAAGAAATCGAAACCATGTACGATGACATAACCAAAGCTGTGTCTCGTAACAAAGCAAATTTTATCGTGGTAATAGGTGACTTCAATGCGAAAGTGGACGACGTGTACGAGGATGCGACGAATCGAGGTTAGGTCCGCATGGTTATGAATGTATGAATATTAGGGGCAAATGTTCGTCAACTTTCTCGAAGGGCAGGGTCTCTTCATAATGAATTCCATTTCAAAAAGAAGCCCCAAAGAAAGTGGACGTGGCGAAGTCCTAATGGAACGACGAAAAATGAGATTGACTTCATTTTAACTGACAAGTATTCAGAGATGTCTCGGTGATCAATAGGTTCAATACAGGTATGTAATGGTACGGCACTCTGAATATTAATATTCGACTCGAACGAGCGCGTTTGATGAGGTCAACTCTTCGACCAACACTAGTCCAGATCGAAGTTGGAAGCGAAAAGTTTCAAATAGACCTGCAGAATCGTTTTCGCTGCTAGAAACAATGATGACATTAACGACACCACTAATAACTTGATGAGAATCATCATCATCCTACATGCGATGTAGGATATAAGCACTTTCGACAAAGGAGCAATGGACAAAAGTCGAAGTGCTCCCGCGAGACTCTGGAAGTAATGAAGGAACGTGAAGCTGTTAATGTTACCGCATTGGAGCGTCAGGTACTTGACAAAAAGGTAAAGAAATGTATACGGCATGACATCCGGCTATACGATGCAAAGACTATTCATGAAGCCATAGAAAGTAACAAAGGATCCAAAGTCTTCTCAAAATCTTCCACATCTAGTTGTCAACTGACAAAGTTGACAACAGCTCAGGGAAACATGGTTGCCTATAAACCAGAAGTACTCGCGGAAGTAGAAAAAATTTATACGAATTTATATGCCCAGAAACATACACAAACATAATTGTAAAGCTGAAAGCTCTACAACGGTGAATACTGCGGCTCAAATCAGTAGAACGGTACCTGCAAACTCTGAAAGCTGTTGTAACGCCATTACGTTACGTTGAGACGCCATTACAGTTTTTAATAAAACCGATTTTTTAGGTTATTTAGATATTTCAATTTTTATTGAATTGATATTCAATTATTTTTTATGTGAAATTACTACACTAGTTTGTTATAGTCATTAATACAAAGATCGAACACTCAGAAAAAAATCCTTCGATCCGGCCGGATTCGAACCGACATCTTCTAGCTTACCGTCCCAGACGCTATACCAACTAAGCCACGGAACGAAACAGCGGACTTCACGAATTTTTCTATGTGTTTGTTGTTGTATCTTTGTATTTGGTTTTTTCAATGACTTTTTAGACCTAGCGCCATCTATGAGAAATCTTAAATATTTCGTCAGCCAGTTAGATACCTTTACAGCTACCAGCCCTGGCTAGAGATGCGCTAATCATTGTATTTAAATTTTTATTGATTCACTTATTTTTTATGAGACATTCTTCTGACATTCTCTAACTAGAGTATTATTTATAGGAATTTGATTAATCTCACTATTAATCTCTCTATGATTTATATCACGTAATCACGTTCGTACACTTTTTGTACTAAATCACTAAATCTGTTCACTCCCTATTTAGTAGCTGTTGGTTCCCATAGCCTGATAAAGCTGCTCCGGCTCTATCAATAAATGAAAAAACTGATTTTAATAAATGTTTTTATTAAATTATATACATATAACGTGAAAAAAATACAACTTGATATGAAAGAGTTCTACGAGGTAACAAAATACATTTGAAAAAATAACTCTCATTTCTATCAGTAACCTTTAAGTACGTGACGGCAAATATACATATTTAAATAAACCTGCCGCAAACTTGGAATTTCATTCATTTGTGCATCCATATATATGAGAGAGTTATAGGATAATAAAAAAATGAAAGTCGGTTTGTTTGAAAAAACAAATATACGCGTTTTAAATTCGGAAAAATAGTTTCATTTCTAAGATGGATGGAAGTTGGAAGAGCCACATGGGACTGGATAATATTATCGAAAAGAAATAACGATCAAAAGAGCAATTTAGAAAAAAGATGTGAATCAAATCGCCAACTTTTAATTTAGTTTGGCAAATTGGAATGTCACGCGTTTTTATGATTTGAATAGGTACGCAAGAACCTAAGTGGCCACTGTAGTGTGGCGTTACTATCTCAAACGCTGCAGTGATACGATTACGATGCAAACGCGCGATTGCATTGATGCAACCGCCTGTAAAGCACTAGTGTAGCGGTGCAATCGCGCATTTCAAAGCGTGCGTTTATATCTTTGCTAAAACTCGCCGTGTGTAACAGCTCTTAGTTCTATGGCTCCTCGCATATAACGTTTTTTTCATTTAAAGTTTTTTCACTTACGCGGAGACTACTTTAGTGATAAAAAAACTGCAAACGAGGTGGTTGGACGCAGAACCGTTAATTAGTAGCGCCTATTTAAGCTAAAGAAAATTTAGTCCAGAGTTGGCAGCATGGTTTGCCTTTTCCTTAACGGAAAGAATTTAAAAAAACAACATCTGTTTATTGTCATTTGGTTTTATTCTTCTATATTTCTTGTAAGATGAAAAAAGAAAAAATATCATTTTAATAAAATAAGTAACTCGCATCTTTGGATCTAAATTGTTGTATTATAAAAAGAAAAACAGTGCTGTCTGGTTTTATACTAAAATAATGTGGATGCTGTAATAAGCCATTTCCGAACCGCTGCTGTGATTAAGCGCTTAAATACTTAATTTTAGCCTGCCAGTTAAAAATTAATTTTAAAAATGAGCCTCGATCTTTTAGATTACTTATTTTATCACAGTAAAAAAGACTATGTCGCTAGTACACACCTTGGAAAGGACGCATGTCAGTTTTTTTATGATATCGTCGGTGTTTTGTAGAAAGAGTGAAAGCGCTATATCAAAAAATCAGGGGAGCATGTTTTAGGCTTAGAATAATAACGCATAGAAACCTAGCCCGCACACGCTAAGTGAGGCAAGTTAAAGGCTTCCCAACGGGCTCCCAGGAGCGCGCGGGCTGTTAGTGCTCAAGGTCAAATTGCACCGCGAACAGCTCCAAAATTTTTTGCTAAAAATGACGAAATGTGCGGTAAATGGGTGTAAAAATAGAACAGACAAACATAAAATAGACACTAACATCACATTCCACAAGTAAGTAATGCGTTTCAAATCATATTTTTATGTAATTATTCACTAAAACAGAATTTCGCGGCATCAAGATACGAAAGTTGCAAAGTAACGAATTTTTTTTCTCCCCATTTTGCTGTTCTGCATCAAAATAATTATATTACGTAAATTTTAGTGGTGCCTGTAATTTCGATTTATTTGCACATCTTGAACTAATATTTACTTGAATAAACATTAAATGTTTTCGTTAACTCCTGTAAGTGATTGGGACACTTAATTGTTTTATAATACTTTTAACGGCTCTGCGTTCATGCTTTATTGAATAATTATTTATTTTAATTTTATTTGAATTATTATGCACATATTGCAACAAATTTACAGTATATATTTGTTTCTACTATAGTGTTGGTACCACCAGTACAACTTTGATAGCTTATTATATGTCTTTCTTTTCGTAACTCAAGCGAAATATTTTATATTGAAATATTTTATTTTCTTAAAAGGGGAGCATTCTTAAGCGATTTTTTAATCTATTTTAACAGTTATTTTCTTTAATGTTTGCTTATGGCATTTTCGGTTTTAGGTTTCGAATATGGCACTTATTTCTAAATCCAAGATGGCGTGCGCGATTTTTCGAATAATGGCAAGTTGGGTATCGTTTTTGAGATGTTTGGGAATGTTCAATACAAATATGGCACTCATTTCTAAATCCAAGATGGCAAACACGACAGTTCAAACAAAAGCAATATTCGTAATGAGCACCCCCAAATACCTCGAAAACGATACCCAACTTGCTATTATTTGAAAAATCGTGCCCGCCATCTTGGATTTACAAATAGTGCCATATTCACATTGAGCATCCCCAAATACCTCGAAAATGATATCCACATAGCATTTTTTTCAAAAAATCGTGTCCGCCATCTTGGATTTAGAAATGAGTGCCATATTCGTAATGAGCATCCCCAAATACCTCGAAAATGATACCCATATAGCATTTTTTTGAAAAATCGTGCCCGCCATCTTGGATGTAGAAGTGAGTGCCATATTCGTAATGAGCACCCCCAAGTACCTCGAAAATGATACCCATATTGCATTTATTTGAAAACTCGTGTCCGCCATCTTGGATTTAGAAATGAGTGCCATATTCGTAATGAGCATCCCCAAAT